ATGAAAGAACTGCAATTTTATTTACCTGTTCCTTTATTATTTTTTTGTTCCTTCTAATCTTACATAAAATTTTTAAATTTTGTATATAGATATGTAGAGATCGTACAACAATGAACCGGCTAGAAACATTAACAAAGTACGCATTAAACGATATTAAATTTTGAATTTATAATTTTTTCTCACCTTGGTAGCATCATTTAGAATATCAACCGTATATGACGTACCCATTTCTTAACTCGTACGATATTCAAGAGCTTGTAGCTGCTACTCAAACTTTGTAAACCGATGTCTGTGCTTATAAATAATGATGTACATTGGAACGTACCAAGACCTAGTATTCGGTGTCTGCAAAACAATACACAATGGGACTGAGAGATATATTATAGCATGAATAGGTGCTGACTTTATGTTTCATTTTATTCACTTTACATGATTCCCTTTATTTGTCTTTGTACTTTTGATAGTATGACTCTTTCTGGGGTTCCTATTTCGTGCATAAAGATTTCGGGTTTTAGGCTTCGAACGTTCCTGATGCGGGTGGAAACAGAGGTGCAAAATATGATAATTATGGTGACCGCATTTATCTCAGCGTAAAAAAGGATACAACATATACAGCTACGTCTGTGTCATATCTTGATAAGCATCTATACATTGACAATGAAAGTTTGTTGGAAAGGGATCTCTACCATAATTGTTTAATGAATAATAATGAATGCAATTTCATATAATAACTAGATAGTAGATATGAACCTAGAATCACTTGACATGCAGGCCGTCACACAACAGCGATAGGACCATCACACTTCATCTTGAGCATCGCACTTAAGTATACCTATCGCATCTCTGAGACTTACAAACCTACTAACTTATCATATCCATTCCATGGAAAAACTGACCAACTACATGCTTTCCATACACAGGAACCTGATGTTCAGTGGTTGTCCTTTGTTGATGTAGTTCATTAGTGTTTCTCGTTTCTCGTTTTTTATATAGATTAGACCGTTGGGTTTCCCGTTTGAATGGTTTTACACTAGTCATTTTTTGAGCTCTTTATAGCTTGCTATTCGGTGTGAGCCAAGGTTCCGTGTTGAAGACCGAACTTTGACCTATAATGGTTTACTTTTACAAATTGTGACTTGGATGGAGAGTTGTCTCATTTGGACTCATATCACATCTTCTTATATAAACTGACCAATTGCATATATTCCCTGCATGTTTTTCATATTCATTTTATCAGGATCGTGATTCCAGTACACTCATATGTGAAAAAAGGAGTATTAGTATCTACATATTAGGTCTTTGTACAGTGATCTAAGTTCTCATAAACCTCAAATTCATGAAACAACTACTTTACTGTGATGCTTTCGATAGATTTACAATTTTGGTGCAAGGTGATTCGCAGGAAATATCAATCGGTGTCTGACCTTTTTTATTACACATTTTGACATCAACATTGTTTTGGAGTAACAGTTCTACTGTCTCTACGTGTCCTGCTTCACATGCCACATACAACGGAGACTCCCCATACCTGTTACACTGACTGAGAGATATCTGCATTGTTCAACAATAACAGATTTACTGTGTTTGTTTGTCCTACTTCACATGCTACAAATAGAGGTACCTCCTACTTCTATCATATAGGAATACATCAGCCTTGTACTGCATACGTAGTAACAGATTAACGATATCAGTATGTCTTTCGTTAAAGGCAACAAACAATGGGGACTTTCGATAACTGTTACATTGAAAAACATCAGCATTGTAATTTAGCAATAGTTTTACTGTATCAAAATGTCCTCTTTTACATGCAACATACAATATTGATTATTGTTAAACTGAGAGATATCAAAATTGTTCAACAGTAACAGTTCCGCTGTCTCTCTGTGTCCTCTTTCACATGCCACGTACAGTGGAGACCTTCTATAACTATCATGTTTGGATACATCAGCATTGTTCTTTAATAAGAAATTAACTACTTCTGAATGTCCTCTTTCAGATGCTTTAAATAAAGGTGATTTACCTTCTACGGCAGCCCTATTCACATTACATTGAATAGTAACAGTTAGAAATTGAACGAAATCGTAGAAACCACCTGATGCTGAATCCATTAAAGGTGTTGTATATCCATGATGACTTCTGTTATCAAGAATCCTTAATATTTGTTTAGCTTCAACACTTTTTTTTTAAAAATAGGCGAGTAATCTATCAATAAATGACTGATATATTATTGTGCATTATGTATTGTACTTGTAGTAACACAATGCCGTAAGTCACTTAACAATCTTCCGAAATAGTCTTCCTGTGTGTCTTCCGATATTATTATACAATCGTCATTGGATTTAACATCTGTAATTATTTCAAGCAGGAAATGGTAACGAATGAATATAGGAAGTGAAAGTTTTATGAAACATTCTGTAAGGTTCTTGCCACAGATTACAACTGCCGTTTCATTGATTTTGTCATGTATCATTTTATACACATTACCTGTTCGTTTTATATAGGTCCCATCTAATGTAGTCAAGCTTTTCTTGACCACTCTACTAAAGAGGCTTTGGGAGATTTGTTGTTATTTTCTATCACACTGGTTATACAGCTTAGGGAGATTTGTTTTTATTTGATAGCGTGCTTGTAATACAGCCCTGTGAGATTTGTCGTTATTTTCTATCATGCTGGTTATACGTGCTTTGTAATTTGTTGTTACTTTCCAGATACCTTTTGCTTATATACTACATTGAGATTTAAACGAGACATTTAATGCTTAGAAAAACGTAGAAAAAAGTCCTACTCATGTTCATATGCCAATCAGCGGTTATGAATATTTGTGTCCTTTACGTATTTTAGTATTCATTAATTTGGTACATTTTAAAAGATCTTAAACTTTAAGCTAATTCCATTTCCAAGTTTGTTAACTTTGGACACTGCGCTAGACATATTGTTAACAAAATGTTTCCATTGTTGAAGATAGTAAATTAGTATCTCTAATACTAATCCTTTTATTTGTTTAGCTTTGTTTCATTTCGTTTGGTATATTTTTGTATCAATAAATATACCCGCATTTCTTATGAGACTATTCTTTGTGAGATGAAACCTTTGGGATTATAATTTTAATTGATTTTCGCCGACTAAGTTATACGACGCCATCCCAATTCAAAAAAGGTGTAAATTGTTTAATTTAAATGATTTTTTAAATTTAATAATCGGCTAAATAACCATCAATCATGTAACAAGACCAACAAAAACTGTCCCCTCACAAACATATTTGCTAAAAAAACATCATTTTTATAATGATACTTTCCAAATAATAGAAGTGAACACTGAGTGGGACACTAAAATGAGACAAATAGAGAAAACTTTTGGATCCACCAGCTCCATACTTTAGAACCTGATGTGCTTTATGAAAGAATTAAGAAAAACTAATTATATAGCATCATCCTTTATATCTCTGCTCAATAGGGCGTTGCCAACTTCAACCACAATTTGAACTGTGTTACAACTCTTGATTCTACTGACGAGAAAAAGGTAACACTAGGCCACGAAGGCAGTCTAGGTGGTCGATTTGTCTTGAGCGATGGACACAGTGCATGCGATGTTGTCATGATATCCTAATAGCATGAATTCGAATTCCGTCGAGGGAAGAACAAACATTTGCTTTCTCAAATTTGTAGATTGAACATTGCTGTTGCTATTTCTTTACCTATGTCAATTATAAAATTCTACAATTATACCAGGTTAAATCTCAATGTGCTATTCAATTGAAATTTTAGTTAGTCTTTTCAGTCTCTACTGTAGATACCTTACCTACGTCATTTTTAAAATTTAGAATTGTACAAACGCTGCTGTGTTCGGTTTTAACCGTATAAGTTCAAGATCGTTATAGGTAAATAACAATAGATTGATATGATTCATTTTACATCATAATCCTGCTGATGAAGGATATATGTTAACCGAAATATTTATAGATAACGTTTAATGTTTTTTTTTTGTTTTTTTTTGTTTTTTTGTTTTGTACACGTTTTTATATAAATATATCATTCTATTATATTCACATGTTTTAATGTTTCGACATTGTATGTTGGTCGAAACGAATTAAAAGATAACAAAGCAGGTATAATAATTTCACATTATTCTTTTTAATTTTGAATTAAACTTTCATTCTGTTTTAAACTAATCTTTTTACAAACCAAACAATTTGTCAAAAGAAACTAATCGTTTCATAATATCTGACAAAATGGTGCTTCGTTTTCAAAATAATTTCTTTGATTCCTTCTCAACGCATTTTCGGTCATTCTTGGTTTAAATTTGTTTTCAGTTTTCTTTATTTGCTCCAGTAATTCTTTTTCCTTATTCTTACACTCTGATTTAAGTTTTTTGTTTGCTTCTTCGAGTTGTTTTTGTAGATTTTTTTTTGTCTATCTCCGATTCTATATTCTTCGATTCTAGGGCATTTTTTAATTCAAGAACAATTTCTTTTTCTTTCTCTAGTTTTTTCGCGTATTTATCTTGTATTTGTTTTGTTTTTGCTTCTGTTTCTTCTTTCATTTGCTCTTCCTTTGCCTCCTTATCATCTCGCATCCTCTTTTGTAGTGCATCTTCTACTTCTTCGTACATTTCGTTTGTATAACAAGATCCGCCATTTTTCTCGCACATCGACTCTACCATTTTAAAAAAGGAATCAACTTGCTCTGATTGAGATTGTCCAACCGCTTCATTGTTAAACGCAAGGAATCTATCCCCACACTTACCAAGTATTGTTTTAAGATAATCCGGAACAGTTTTAACGTGTTGATAAATCGATATATTTGATTTCGAAAGATCATCCTTTCTAGTGAAAAGTACAATCATATAGCAAAGAACACCTACACCAAAGTGATCAACATAATGTTTGACTGTATCTTCTTCTACCTGCGTAAATCGACCGACACTAACAACAAGGACCATTGCGTGAAGGCCAGGTGATGTCATTGCAATACATCTTGTTATCTCCTTAGTAACAGTTTCATTCATTCAAATAAACCGGGTGTATCAACTATAACTATGTTTTTCCCTTCCCGTTTAGAATCTCCGAGTTCACAATGTTCCGTTACTGAAGAACCACTAGGTTTTGACAGAAAACGATTGCGACCCAAAAGACTATTTCCTGTTGCACTTTTCCCGTGTCCTGTTCGTCCAATAAGTACTATTCGTATTTCATTATCTTCTGCCCTGACTGTCGAACCTACAAAAAGATGAAATGTATTTCATATTTTTAGCATATTGCATTACATGTATATTATAATTTAAAAATAGTTAAACATCCTATTTGCGGAATAATTTTTTTTGGGGGAGAGGGGATCCAGGATTATATAAGACAGGTTTTACCTGTGAAAGAGGACAAAGTCCACATACATAACTAATGTAACACTAATTTTACAGTTACATTATTTTGACTCTTATCATGCTTATTACAAAGGCCTTCAGGTTTTTTACATTTTACATTTAACAAAAAATCCCTTTCATTATTAGTATTTAATAACATTTGAAATATCCTTCATTTTTGTCTTTGTGACATTGGGTTGTACAATAAATTAATCGTTTAACCAAATGGTAAAAAAGAAAACTAGTTCCAAGGATATTTTCTGTTCAAAAGAGCTTTAGATACTGAAACGTATCCGATGTTGACTTAGCTGTTAGAAATTTTATTCATGATGTCCTCTTTAATGCAATAAAGAGAAGGCTATCTTCAAATTTTTCAGATAATGTTCTTTTCTCCGTTTTTCAGAATTATTATAATTAAAAATATAATAATTTATACCTTAAACGACAAAGATGCAAAGTGGGCTTATTATTACTTAGTAATCTTCCTGTATCCTTGATACAAAAATCTGTCTGCTTCATGACGTGAGTTACTTTCTTGACAGGACCATTCCCGATTAAATTTTGTCAAAAGTCTGATAGATAGATAGTTTATTTCTCATTAAACCATACAAGTACAAAGGTTACACAGAAGTTCAAAATATGTCTATAAAATATTAGATGTGATTACATAAAAGGTATATATATATTAAAAAAAATAAACAAATACATAAATAAAAATAGTTAAATAAATAAAAATATAAGAATACAAAACAGATAGATAAACATGTTTAAAGAAATAGTTTTAGTGTTTAATATGTTGAAATTATAGTTGAGAAGAATGAGATATTTAACTGTTGATAAGCTGTTTGAGTGTCTTTGGGTTTTTTGAGTTAGACAGTGTCTTGAATTTAAAAAAAAAATTATGTCTGCTTATTAGTTCGTTTGGTATCAATATTTTCCATTCATCTTCTAAAGCTAGGCAAACAAAAATACAGTGATATTCGTCTCCTATATCTCCATTCTGGCATATAGAACACTTTCTTGCACTTCTGTCAATATGATACCGTCTCCCCTTTTCTATTGATATCAGATATTGTTTATGAAGCGTCCAAATTCATCCCTTTCCAGCCGAATTTGTCCGGATTATCCCGTTCTCAATACGATTCTAATCCGATTTGTAATTTTCACATAGTAAAAAACGACAGAATCTGTCCTGACATCTTTCTGATTCTACCGAATGGGATCCGACAAAGATCAGACAGTGAGCAGACACTGAACCGACGTTAAGCAAAGATATCCGTTAGAAAACTGTCGCCATATTCGTGATCATCAGGCACTGTCGGAACATAATCATTACACAGTTTGATGTACCGCATTGCAAACGGCTTTGTCAAGACTCAGTCGTATTGTGTTCATTTATCGTCGGGACTCTGACGTGGGTATCATGGTCGAATTCCGTATAAATACCGGGACTGATCCGACCGTGTAAGGGCTGTATAGCCAGTAAATGTCGTTAAAAACTTCCATTTGTTGTTGAATGGTTTCGGTAAAGACGGTTCGCATTCGACTAGATATGGATGCTATCTTGACTCAATCGGCAGCAAACAGCAATGACAATTTTCTCCAGATCATGCCTGTTTCAAGAACATTGTTGTTATTTAATTCGATACAGCAGAATCTGTCGCGACATAGTCACGATTGTAATCCGAAATTGGATGAGTTTCCAAGGATGTTACCGGACGCACCTTACTGTCGAGGGCGCTTGGCCGAGCTCTTCGGACCATTCCAATCTCTATGAATATGTTACAATCGTATACGACTGCGCTCAGACAATGATAGGACATTCCACATCATTGAGGATAGTGTTCCGACTTTTTCACTTTTCGTGTCTTAGCGCTGTCTGGTCTCAAACGGGGGTCATAATCGGCACTGTGTGGTTGCCACATAATTCAAGATTACCAATCTTCCGATAGACGAGTGTACCACACTATCGGTACACCACTGAGGTTGATAAATGATTAAATTATTAGTTTGCATCAGATTATTATACTAGATAGATGGATAATATTTGTTGGACAAACAGGCGGTAGAACATTCTAACTGTCGGACGGTCAAGCTACTTGCAATATAACCCTACTTTAAGAGTGGAGGTAAACTAAAATGCCAGTTATATGAATTCAAATTGATGTAGGATATTGCTCTACCATAGAAATGTCGTCCGGGTTATATAAATTAGAACACAGAATATCTAATATTGAAATATTAACATATATCTACAAAGTCATACAATTTTGAAATTACAATGTTTTGTCTGCATTATTCATGTTATTCTTAGCACTCTTAATTTGTCTACATGTGTCTTAAGTGTAATAAATTTATGTTGGAAGAGCTAATCTTAAAGTCTTTACTGTTTTATTTTTTTTTTGTTTGGGACTAACAATATTGTATATCAAACTTCCCAATCAAGTCATTCAACTCAAATGTGAAAAGGGAACATTATTTCTTTAAAATATTACTTTACTATTAATCTTCTTATTTAAAAGACAATCCGGTACATGTTTAAATATTTCTATGTAAACCTCATGTTTCATCATTGTTTTGACAGAGGGTAACTCTGTTGCTATTGTTTTCTGTACACCATTGTATTCACAAAGGTTATCGGAAAAAACTTGCTGTAAAACCTTCTTTTTTTGTATAAAATCACTGTAACAGTTCCAATACATTTTTCAACTCAAAGTTGTATTTGTTTTTCATCCAATTTTCATAAGAAGCAACTCTGTTCTTTTTTCATTTGAAAAGGTAGGTATTCATTATTTTTGAAACTTTTCAAAATTGACAAAAAACATCATGAAATAATTTAAATAATCGTTATTTGAATGTAATGGTAATGCAGATATGAATTAGAATAGGTATTACTTATGATGTAAACATTGATTGATAAGGTTATAATCAGAGTTTAAATTATAAGTAAAAAATAGTTACATTATAAGAAATAGACGTATGCAGAAAAAACTATTGTTAGTGAAATGAAGAAGTAGTATTTCAAAGGGTCAGAAGTTAAGGTTTACAAAGAAAGGGGTTATAACCAGCAAATTTGCATATGCATTGTATGATCATTGTTACTACAAATACCGATAAATTTTATTCAATTCTTCAATTAAAATAGAAATAATACTCAAAAGACTGTCCTAATTGGGTTTCGCTAATTTGTCTTGACATATAAAAATAACCATTTAAAATTCATTCATGTTTAATACAGAATACATGCAGACAATGCATGATATACGCATTCAGACTTTTTCAGTCAGATTAAAGACTGTTAAGTCATACAAATTCAAGAAAACATTGATTTTTAAGATTCTGGGGCCTTTGCAGTGTATATGTTCCAAACGGATGAGATTGCATGATAATTGACAATAGAAACCAAGTAAACTGTTAATATGCATACCTCCAAAATGTTTTGAATAACGATCTTCGACTCGTTTCTTCCTGATTTCTTCCCACATAATACCTAAAAATAACTCAGTTATTCAAGTTGCAATACACAAATCAAAACGATTTTGCTTACTATACTATATCAGGAAGCTATATACTATTTTAGCACCTGTATTGGATAAGATTTTATCTGGTGTTTTAATATATCGTTCTTTATATGTTTTAATTGTGTTTTTTTCTGTTTATGTGTTTCAGTGTTTTTTGTTTGGTATTTTTTTTCTTTTCTGTCGGACCACTAATACATATATAAATGAAACTATTTGTTACTTTACATTGCTCAAATTTCACCACTTTCTCTTTTACCATTAAACACTAGCTAATTAGTCAGCCAAATATATATTTATACGTATTTTGAAAGGTATGTAAAACTTTTCGATTTAAAACATGGAATTCAGTGCGATAAAATGACAGATATAGTTACTATTATTTAACCCAGCCACCAAGTAAGTCTTCAGAATGTAAAACTTCTTTTAAATTGATTTTATTAGTGAATTGCATTGCTTAACTTTTGTAATCCACACTGAAATGACATATACATAAGTCAGGTTTATAGCATGCAGGAGAAGCTTACCCTAGTAAACACATCCTCCATCGCGCATTTTTTGGTGTTATGCGATTACCTCAGGTATATTTATTCTTCTTTTTTGTAAACTCTAAATGGATTTACGAAATATAAACATCTGTAAGCTTACTCTACTAAACCAATGCGTATTATATTAAGTTCCCTTGAAGGTATCTCATTGGTTAGATTTTCAATATTTTATTGTTCTATACAAAATATTGAATTTATATTTGAAAATGGCGTAATTTTCCAAATATATATTCCAACTCATAAGACTAAATGTCAACGTAATGGCTTGCAAACGAAAACCGACGAAAAGAAGAAAAACAACACTCTACAAACACTACATAGAAAACAAAAAACCGCACAACACAAACACGGAAAGGGTTAGCAGCACCTGTGCTACATGTGTCAACATTGACAAAGTTTTACTATCGTGTATAAGGTATAGCAAAGTCATGAATCCGTTGAAAAAAATTAAAAACCTAAGATAAAGCATCAACATTGAATTTCTGAATTTAAACAAATAATATTGATTTTTCGTTTTAAAAAACCTTCACATCTGTTAACCTTAACTCTGAAGGGAATAAGTTAGAACAAAACTGACGTGTCCAAATAATGTCAGCGTTAAGTTACCTTTAGGTACTTAATTTTGATGTTTTGTTGAGATTATCTAGAATCAAAAACACATATGTTATAGTTTTCATGTTAAACAGCAAAAGAATATTGCTGGTCCTTTCGTTAACACTGACTTGCGTATGCAATTAATGACAATATTGGGACATCTTATTGTATTGTTTATTTAAATCTGACGACACTTATCCAAAATATCATTAATTGCAGAACTACTTCCTTAAAGCAGTTCAAAATCAGCAAATGTGACCTAAAGAAAGATATTCAATACCCTATGAAAATGTTTATCATATAACTGAACAATTGGTGATACTCACCTATTTGTTCATCGTGTTCCTTAGTTTTCTGGAAAAAACTATTGAATAAAAAACATTTTACTTGAAGCTGTATTTGAAATATTACTATAACAGTAAGGAGATAATCAAGTCAATCAGTAAAACTTTAACATGTTTAACGTAAAGTGGAATTAAGATGTCTATGTTGGCTCATAACAATAAAGTAGATTTACTAATTATTTCAGTTAACTTCACATTTTCAACCACAATATACAGTTATGACATGTAGCCGATAAACGGAATAATGGCATTTTTTATACTGATTTCATCTGCTCGAAAATCAGTCCGCCCTAGCGGGCTCGCTTGATATTATTGCTGATAAAGTCAGTATCAAAAAACAAAAATGCCATTATTTCATATATAGCAACCAAAATAAATTATAAATAGACAAAAAGTCAATACCGTTTGAAACGGAATATTCGATAAGTAGTTATATATATATATCTATATATAACAAGACTAAATTGAAAACAACGTTCAAACCTATGATTGCGTTGGATAAAAACCGCAATTTTTATGCGTGTGCATGCAAAACAAATTTCTTTATACATATATAAAATTTGTTTTGCATGCACACGTATAAAAGTTGCGGTTTTTATCCAACGCAATCATAGGTTTGAACGTTTTTTTCAATTTTTGTCTTTATATTGTAAAAGTTCATCTCGTTTGATGTTGTTAGCACGAGAGAAACCTTTATCAATGTCTTTTCTTTTGTAGCCTCGATGTTTGAGGTGACCGCGAAGTTCTTGCAGCCGTCTTTTTGCAGTATCGTTGGTGGAGCTAATCCGATAAATGTTTCATTCGTGCTAACAACATCAGCCGAGATGAACTTTCACAATATAAAGACAAAAAGGTCGACAAGAGGGTGCCTTTTGTGTTGACTTACCATCCCAAATTTGACAACCTATCACACCTAATCCGCGAAAATTAGAAAGAAATCGAAAAACATCCTAAACTATCCAAGATCTTTCCCGAGCCACCTGTACTAGCTTTCCGTAAAGTAAACAAGTTAACAGCTTGACCAGAAATTGACAAGAATGGCCAGTTTTCATGTCGAAGGTTTGTAGTTCGCGGCTTCCTCGACCGAAAAAAAAACTTGCCGCTAAAGTCCAAATTGCCACAATGTTCATGAAAATTTCCAATCCCAAGGATATTAGTCGTCAAAAATTGAACATAATAAACAAATAAATAGTCGACCGGTAAGTTATCATTATACACTTATGTGAAGAAAATTATACAATTATCAGCAGCCATAAAGAAAAAGAAGTGCTAGTGTCATGTATGTTCACCAGAATGATTGACCTACGTAACACAATATAAATTAGCTACATGGCAATTGGGGTATACGAAGTTAATTTGCAGACATCAGTGAATATAACTATACAAAACGCTTACTATACAGCAATAAAACATGAACGCCACCAAACTCTAGGAATAAACTCAAATGTTCTATAATAGTAAGGATTTTTTGTTCCACTACTTACAAATCAAGTCTTATAAACTCATACGTATTACATGGAAATAAGTCGTTAAGTCAAAAAGTATATCATGTAAAGAAACGGAATACAATCTACCAATTGTTTAATTCTATGACTATATTCTTTTCCAGTTATGACATATAATATTCCATAAGATGGATTGACTTTTCTAGCATATATCAATTACGCTTTTTTGACTGTGTTGGGTATTTTATGGTTACAAATGTTTTTTTTTTTTTTTCATACATTTTCTAAGTTTCTTATCTTTTCCTGTAAACCGTTTTCTAAATCTTGTAATTCTTCTTTCACTTTGAAAATTTGAATGTCTGTTTCAGTTAAACCATGTTGTACATATTCTCCGAGAACATGAGTCTGTTGACGTATTTCATCCGCTATCTTAGCACCAAGTCTTGTTTCACTCAGAAAATAGTTCTGACCTGTAAAGAAGGACAAAATATTTGATATTCAGGTAAGGCTTAAGAAGACCTGTTGCAAAAATATACTAATAACTAACTATTTGTTTAGTGTGTTGAACAACATGTTGAATGACGGTTGCTAACATATTGTTTGATGTAAGTTCCTATGATTGATGTTTTTGAAGTATACGTTGTGTTGTCTGTGATATGGATCACATCAATGTTGTTGTGATTGATATGGATCATAGCAAAATATTCTGTGTTGTATGAGACATTTTAGGTTGTGTAGGTTTTTGATGACCAACGCTGTGTCATTTATATAGTATGTGTCATGCGTGAGTTGGATCTCAGAAATATAATTTGTATTTTTTATGTCGTGAATTGTGTCTATTATATTGATCAAAATATAGTTTTGACCCTGTTTTTGAACATCACTGATGGTTGCGATGAATCTGTCCAGCTATAGTGTAATGGGAAGGTGGTTTAAACTTGCACGATATCAAACTTCTTATTCAAAATACATCGTAAAGGGTGACATGGAACGATATGCCTCCCCATGCGATTGATGCGTTCAGTGTATGACAAAAAAACCAGTTCATCTGAGGTACACATTGCGTGGGGAGTTTGAACCCTTGTTTCTAAATGATTTCTTAATTTCTAAATGGGAAATTTCACATAAGTTTATGTTATAATTTCTTTATCGAAGCAAGAAAACTGATCTAATTATACTCTCGGTGACTAGCATTCCATCAGCAGCGTTATCGACCCAGATCTTCTGTTCATTTTCATTAAAGTCCTTACAGTTTGAAAAGTTATTAATTACTAAGAAACTTAACCTTAGAGTGATTTTTATGTATACTGCATACAAGATAAAAAAATAAAACGTTTAACAAGGTTCATTTATCAGTAAAATACAAAAACAAAAATGACTACAAATGACAACGCCGACGAAGGAATGCAGCATCGCTATTCCTCGCTTCCGCTTCCACATGTCGAAGGCCTCGACAAAAAGTAAATTTTGCAAACACTATATTATAATTATTAGATACCGTTTGTTACCCATGTTTTGAGTTCTCCCAAGATTCTTGCCCTTTCGGTGTCACTCAGACTAAGATCCTTGACGAATTGGCCCATTATATGGAAACAATTTGTATATTTTTCTCTAGTCCAATTTCTAAAGTCACAATGCGCCCAGGAATTGCGTATGTCCACTCGTATCTAAACAATTGCAAAATAGTTAGTCAGTTTCATAAGGATGCCAGGAATTCCGTTTTAGGATCTGTGTTGTTTTTAATTTTTATAAATGGCCTTCCTTTATCTAATCCTAATCATACCACCGATTTATTTGCTGATGATAGCACCATATCAGTCATTGGACAAAACAAAAGTTGCATCAGTCAAAAACTTAATACGGTTTTACAAGATATCTTTTGCTGGTGTGATGACAATAAAATGGCTGTAAATGTATCTAAAACGAAAGCTATATGTATTAGCTCTAAACAGAAGCTTTCTGTTACATCAGATGAAAACATTAATCTTGCCATAAATGGACAACAAATCAAAGAAAGTACATGTGAAAAGGTTATAGGTATTTTTATTGATGCATCTCTATCTTGGTCTTCTCATATTGATCATGTAATAAAAAAGTCAACTCTTCTTTAAGTTGACTAAAAAGGATAAAGAATACTTAAATCACAAAGTTAGAGAACTGTTTTATAACGCTTACTTTTTTCCTCATTTAGATTATTGTTTTTCAATATGGGGAAACTGAAACAACTTTCTATTAGATAGTTTACTAAAACTGCAAAAGAGGGCAGCAAGAATAATTTTAGACGAACATGCTTACATCAAACTTCAAGCGAATTATTATACGAATGTAACATTGTGCCGATTACACAAAGAATACATTATCATAAATCATTACTAATGTATAAAGCAAAGAATGGTTTAGCTCCAGAATATTTGTCAAGTCTTTTATCAGCTTCCGAAACCAAAAATACAATACGAGATTTTCATTTCAGATAATATTATAATTCCAAAACCAAATACAGAGTTGTATAAGTCTATAGTTTCTCGTACAGTGGACCAAAAGTTTGGAATGCTCTTCCTAATACAACTAAAAATCAAACACAGTATCAGAATTTAAACATAACTACAAATATATGTATTTTAAAAATTACCATGATATTTGTACTGTAATGCCATATAATAATTGTTTATTGAATTTAAATTGCATCTTTATTTATCATTATTATTGAATTTGTATTGTTTATTTTTGATGTAATTATTATTGTATTTAGAGATCTTTATTAAAAATTGGTGCAATCCAAATGAAAGCGGGACGAAAGATACCAGAGGGACAGTCAAACTCATAGATCGAAAACAAACTGACAACGCCATGGCCAAAAATAAAAAGACAAATAGACAAATAAAAGTACAGATGACACAACATAGAAAACTAAAGCCTAGCAACACGGACCCCACCAAAAACTGGGGGGGATCTCAGGTGCTCCGGAAGGGTAGGCAAATCCTGCTCCACATGTGGCACCCGTCGTGTTGCTAAGTTACTCTCTCTAGATAAAGATTTTTTGTTAATTTCCATTACCATTACACATATTTTGATATATTAAAATATATACTATGGATTATATGGTTATGCTCCTTGGATCTAGTTCAGATGCAAGTACTATCAAAGGACTCGAAGAGTCATGCAATTAGTCGACTATTAAACTATCTCGAAAACTCATACCTTAGCAGCATCAATCTGTACACTCGGAGGAACGGTAACTGATGTTGATTACAATATATTGAAAACAATTAGCTCACAGCTTATCTATTACTAGTTCATTAAGTCATCTCGAAAATAATACTAAATATATTAAAATGTTTACCTTGTCAGCATCAGTCTGCACAGTTTGTGGAAACGAACTGATGTTAATGACCATGCTAAGCAGAGCAGACGAGTCACATGACTCATCAATTGCCGAGTAATGAGCCATATGAGGCTTTAGGAACAACTTTGACAAATCCACATGGCTTGTTACTTTATAATTATATCTCTGGTAATCTCCTTTCCATGCGTTGTTAATCTTTTTCTTCGGTACTTTCCTGTTGTCGTTTATTGATTCATAATTAAGAAAATATTTGTTTGTTCCCGGGTATTTCTTTAGATATGTATGATAATCCTGTGTATCAATGGAGTCGCTAAATACCAATGATTTGTACAAATTAATTATAACAGGATCCACATATTTTCTCAGCAGAGGAGAAATAATCGTATGCAGACATATCCCAATAATCAGCCACCTTTTCTTTTCGTTATTCAAATCTCCTGGGGGACCTGGAATTAAATCAATGTATGAGAGGTTGAGCACATGAAATGGACAAAATCTAAATGAATCATAGTAAATATATATATATATATATATATATATATATACAAGTCTAAATTGAAAACAACGTTCAAACCTATGATTGCGTTGGATAAAAACCGCAATTTTTATACGTGTGCATGCAAAACAAATTTCTTGTTAGAGGGGTCCATATACACCACAAACAACATTTTCCAAAAGACCAAAAAAGTAAAAAAGTATATTTTAACAAAACGCAATTGACTTACAGGTCGAACAACAAATGTTCTTAAACCCTGCTGACTGCCATTGGCGATTGCCAAATAAACGTATCACAAGGTGTAATAAATGAATCTTAATTATAAATTTAATACCAAACAGAAAACAATAAACTTGCGGCAAAGATGGTATACCGCAAACAAAGGTGCAAAGATTTTTGTACACCATATCCGGATTTCGACAATAAATGTCTCTTCAGTGATGTTAGGAATCGAAACGGTATTTGGAAGGCCATATAATTTACCTCAATATAGAATAGACTCTTGAGTCAAAATAGGATGAACGGATCATATAAACCCGAAGGCAAATATAATACAAGCCCAACCGAAAAATATATAAAAGTCTAAATTGAAAACAACGTATATATATACATATGTGCTGTATTTAGACCACTCTACCAAGAAATCTGTTTTGCATGTACACGTATAAAAATTGCTGTTTTTGTCAAACGCACTTATAGGTTTGAACGTTATGTTCAATTTAGACTTGTTTATATTTTTTCGTTTGGGCTTGTATTATATTTGTCTTCGGGTTTATATGATCCGTTCATCCTATTTCGACTCTTTTAAGATTCAAGATTCTATCCTAAATTGAGGTAAATTATATGGCCTTCCAAATACCGTTTCGATCCCTAACATCACTGAAGAGACATTAATTGTCGAAATCCGGATATGGTGTACACATTTTTGCACCTCATGTTTGCTGTATTCCATCTTTTCCGCAAGTTTATTGAACTCTGTTTGGTAATAAATTAATAATAAGATCCATTTTGTTACATCTGGTGGTCCGTTTATTTGGCAATCGACAATGGCAGTCAGCAGGGTTTAAGAACATCAGTTGTTCCACCTGTTAGTCAAATGCGTTTTGTTAAAATATACTTTTTTACTGTTATGGTCTTTTGGAAAATGTTCTTTGTGCTGTATTTAGACCCTTCTACCAAGAAATTTGTTTTGCATGCACACATATAAAAATTGCGGTTTTTATCCAACGCAATTATAGGTTTGAACGTTGTTTTCAATTTAGACTTGTATATATTTATACTATCCTCTGGCCTTCCATTACAAACAATCGTACTTGTCCTTGTAATATCTTTTTTAAAAAAGAACAACTTATTGGTATAATAGACTGGTATCTTATCAAAGTAAAGCAAACTAGGGCACACAAAAAATATAATATGTTTACCATTCTACATTAACAAATATGAAATTGATCGCCTTAATGGTTACGTGGCAGCGTACTTGCTTTGAATGAGCCTGGTAGGTTATTTACCCTCCAAAAACTTTAATATTATATGATTTGTAAAACAAATACTAGTAACAATATCTAGTTACTTGTATGGAGAGATTATGGAAATATCACACAATCTAAATGGAACGATTTTACGTAAACTTGCAGGTAATTATAATCTAAATCTTCAAAAATATAAACAATAATTGCATCAACTGTATCCTTGACTGATTTAAAGTTGGAATTATTCAAAATGTTTTGTAAGCAGTTATAAATTGACATGTTAAAGCTATGCACACGTTTGCAACCATACATTTTGGACTAAGTAAACCAACTCATTGCTTCCTTACCCAATTTCTTGTGATCGTGATTAAGATGCCAAGCTAGATCAAACGCAACAATTAAAATCGTTATATGCTATTTTTTTCTCTTAAACATGCGGCACTGTCGATTAAACAGGAAAGACTGATCAGAATGTGTTAAGCGAGGATACAAGTCTTTCCATTCATTATTTTCTTGTTTACTAGCACTTTAAAAATCCAGTGCTTTGTGTCGTTCCGATACAATGAATACTCATATAAGATAAACTCTTTCTCATGCAGAATTGCATGTTTTATTTGCAATGCAAATCAATTATCATAATGCAAATAGGTCTGCATGCTTAACAATAAGATTGCACGTGTTGTTCAAAATCTATTGGGTACCTGTAATCATTGGAACTTTATTCTGATCGTCTTGTATCTGTAAACCAGGTGTTGTTATCAGTTTTAATGGACTAATTGTAGCTTGCGCGTTCATTCTGTTATGTTTAATATAACATTGATTTCTTTTCGTTTAAACATTTATCTTTGGTAGATATATTCTGTCCTTCCTAATATTAAACAAGAACTGCAAATATAATAATACATACACAAGCTATAATTTCAATCCCAACAATTATCATATTATACATATTTGATATATATATCGTGTCTGGGCTTCCAAATCTCTTCTTCAGAACTTTTGTTTGCTAAAACGAGTTTGGTGAATTGCTTTCATGTCAATTTGTGTTTAGTTTTATTGTTTGGTAATTTAACTGGTTTATTTTGTTTTCGTTATCCGCTGTTGTTTTTTCCGTTTTTTCCGTCCTTTTTTGTTCATTTTACATATCGTTTAACATTAACTGCACTGTATTAACGTTAAATTGTTTTTTTTTTCACATTTTAAAAGGTTGGGACTTTTTATAACGTGCGTACAAAACTACAAGCCTGGTATCTATAATGAGTCTTTTTAGCTACTGCTAATTGAAACTGAGAAACAGACTGACTCAAAACGTAAAACATGAAATTGAAGTCAATGCCAAGTCGATCATCGCAGAAAGACATTTTTATGTTATGATTAATCAATACTTATTCTTTTCTTGGTGGCAAGGTGCTATTGTGGTAGGTCAAGATAATGTGATGAGTATATTGGAATTTAAAGTTAATTAGATAACCTCAATATTGATATGTGTGTGTCCGTCTCGTACATACATATCTATCATTATTACTTAAAGATGTTACTTTCTGAGATGTAAGCACCTTTACAGCTTTAACAGTAATCATAATATGAACTGTGCAATAAAGGTGCCTAGAATTACAAAATGTGGAACTTTTAAAACGAGAAAACCAACGGCTTGTGACGCAACAAAACAAAACGAAATACAAACATGGCAATCAAAATATTTACAATTGATGACTTGCACTGGTTAACATGGTGAATGCATTGTAAGATCTGTTCATATCAGCAGTTTATTGCATTGTCTAAAAATCTACTGAACAGAATTAGATTGACTGAAGGCTTATTGTTTGAACAATACTGAATTTTCCGCAGTAAATATATCTGAATATTGATGTCCAATTACAAGCTCGCGCTACATGATCTCAATATTGATCTCCCCGATTGCACGTATGCTAGTTCCCAATTCAAATATACAAGATATATTTCGACTGGCCATGTTATTACTGGTGAACTAAACATTGTTAATAACTCTTCTCTGCAAAATATCGTGATCCTTTTCTTATCAATTGTAAACATATTGTCCGAATTCAGATGAATCGGTCGAGGATCATTCCATGCAATTTGATAACACGAGAAAGAAGACGCAGATACTTTTCGGATGGATAACGGCTATGGGGTCGTCGATACAAATCTGTATAAAACAAAAATATGGGATCTATGAAAACACATGCTACGTTAATATTTACAGACCCAAAATGTTGCAATTACCTGTCCTATCTCAATGACATGTGTGCTGTTGTCCCCGCAGTTAAAGCCCCGAACAACGTCGTTTTATGTGTAAATCACATAAACTGCTTCATAAACGAATTAGTTGCTGACAATGTACTTGGAAACTCAACATTTACCACTAGGACATTTACCGAGGTAGAAATTCTAGACAATCATAGGTCTGTTCTATGTTTCTTTGGAATTTCAACCAAAGATAATGTACTGGATATATCTTACTGTATAAGATACATATATATAACGAAGGTCGTTTGTAAGAGTGCATACAATCTAAAACTCTTTCATCTTGCAGTAGTATTTCAATATTCTCCTTTCTACTCTTTATACTAGTATTCCCCATTTTAAACTAAAAGACAAATTGAAAGAGTTGGTCGTAAAAATAGAATGAACAAGTATCTTGTCTTCAGGCAGGACAAATCAACCTTTGTAAAAAGTCACTTTGTGTCCAACAAAAAGTCTCTGAAACTGACATCATGAAGAAGATGCTTGATTTCGTGACATCATATTTGTAACGTTTGCGAGGAAGTAAATTTTCCAAATAAATTGGTATTACCATGGGAACCAACTGTGCTTCTCTTCTTGTCGACTTGTTCCTTTATTCATATGAGGCAGGCTGCATGCAACAGTTTCTTGTGAATAATAGAAAGAAGCTAGCATTATCCTTTAACTTCAGATGATGTCCTCTCAAAAATAAATCAAAGTTTGGTGATTGAGTTGATGCCATCTATCCGATCGAACTTCAAATGAAAGATACAACATTTACAGTTAAGACTCCTAATATCACGACTAGTTCTTAAATTGAAAATAAGGGTAGGTTGAGAAAAAAACTGTATATGAAGCAACATTTAAGCAGCGCCTACTTATGGAGAATATATTTCCAAGTTGATATTCCAGGGCGTATAGTTCCTTTTCTTTGATAGAGATTAGTTGCTGCTCACAAGGAAGCTATCAAACCAAGAGTTCCAAGTAATGAAGTTGAAATCAACCATTTTAAAATTTTATGCACGTCATAACGAGTTGGTTGACCTTTTCACAGCTGACGACGAATATGTTCCAATTGTCTTTACTACAATCCCTTCTCTTTTCCCCAAATGTGACTTACGTATTAGACTTATTGTTTGACTAGTTCTAACATGAGCAACAAGAGCAACAAGACGGGTGCCACATGCAGAGCAGGATGCACTCACCCTACCGGTCCACCTGAGATCAACTCTGTATTTTTGATGGGGTTCGTATTGCTAAGTCAATAGTTTTCTTTTTTTGCATGATTTGTTTGCCCTTTAGTCTTTTCTTTCGTTGTCAGTCTAGTTTCCACTTATTAGTTTGAATGTTCCTTTCTTTTCTGTCGCCTCTTTTGTCGTACGTCCTGTTTACATCATGCTTTTCTGATTTTTCTAGTCATATCCATGTTAGGGTCTGAACATTTTTTTTTTCATTAACTTCTATGTGATATGTTGGTGTTAATGGTGTTACAAGTTATTAAAAAAGAATTGCCCAACTAAAAATATTCAAAATTATTGTTGATCTTGCAAATCGTTTAAACACACATATTTAAGGCCCCAAATGCATTTAACATGTATACATGGAACTTTGTATTTAAATGATAGAACTCTTTTTAATTAATACAAAAAAGCTATAATCGATATGATCTTTCTGTCAACTTAAAAGTGCATAATAATTAATTAAGACATTTAAACGAATATATTTCCCTAATGCTTTGTCAAGCTTTTAGCTACACCTTTTGTCTTATATATACCCGCTGTAAAAGAAAGGCATACAGTTTTACCCTAGTCCGTTCCGTCCGTCTGTCCGTCTGTCCGTCTGTCCGTCTGTCCAGTGTGTCCCGTCTGTCCAAAGTGTCCCGTTCGTCCCGTCCGTCCGTCCGTCGCGTACGTCCACAAAAAAATCGGTTTTCGTTCTCTAACTTTATTTTGCCTCATACAAATGTTATGAAACTTATTCACAATGATTATTACCACAAAACACAGACCAAGTTCGAAATTGGATGGCGTCATTTTTACTGTTGTAGAATTATGCCACGTTATAAGCATAACATTTGCTGAATTTTTCGTTTCCGTTCTCACGCATAAGTATTCCTCACCCAATTGTTATGATACCTATTCACAATGCTTATAATCATCAAACGGTCTTAACTACATGAATCCTGCATCTGTATGTGGAAGTTGACTATTTCTGGTAGTCTGAAAATTAAAACCCAACAGTGGTCGAAGTATATTTTATGCTGACAAATTTTTGTACCTGAACGAGGTTTGAAATCACACCTTTGATACACTACAGCACCACTTGCTTAGCGCCATGTCCAGCGATCTAGACTTCTCAACCACATCCGCCAAATCAAAATATAACACTAGTAGTCGTAGTGTTACCTTGTCACGTAAGGCGAATATAGAGATAGACGTAAGACATGTGTTTTAAGCCTTTGTAGATGTTATATTATTTTTATCATACACAATGCCTTTTTATTTGTCCGCAATATCACTCAACAATTTTTGCATACCGTATGGGATAATGATTCAATTCATTATAAAGTCACTTGAAAGAAGTATATCATACAAACAAGTCTAGGTTAGTGACAACTATGTCTACCGTTGAACATATGATACAGAGTATTTTTTTTAAATATACAGTTATTGTAAATAAATTTATTATAATTTAAATGAAAGGATATAAAAATAACCTTGTGTGTATTTGTTGAATATAGTCCCACTTTTTTGTCGATTGATTCCTCCCTTGATACTCGCCGATAGTACTACAGATATATTTACTTGATAATCAATATTGATATTGCGATTAATATTAGTATAAATATAACTTCTAGATGTTTAACATACATATTTGCATTTAATATTATAACAAAAACAAATAAAGGCAACAGTAGTATACCGCTGTTCAAAAGTCATAAATCGATTGAGAGAAAACAAATCCGGGTTACAAACTAAAACCGAGGAAAACACATCAACTAATAGAACAACAACGAAACAAACATTTTCCTACTAACTGTGAATCTTTAAAATATGCATTTACTATTATTACAAATATACATAAAAGAACATCAGCATTCAATGTTATTACAAATCTACCAACTTGTACATGTTGTACTAGATGTTCAACATAAATATGTATAAATTGTGAATAGCATGACTTACATGCTTAGATGATTTTTACCATTGATTATCGCCGTTACCATGAGAGGCGAGCTTACTTAATGATTTTTTTCATATCAATATGTTTACGTTATTAGTATTAATTATATTTATCTCTGATACGATAATTAAGAAAAAAAAAAAACAAATAATAACTGCCTTACTGTATTAAAAGAAAGTATTTATAATCGAAAATAACACAAACACGTACAAAATACGAACTCCTTTTAATCTCAAAAGAACATATATCTTCCGTAATGTAACGAAAATACATTTAAATCAATCTGTCAACGTATTCATTGAACCGTTGTGTTTTGTATTCAATTGATTTGTTGAGTTAGGGAATTAACTGTCTATTCATTTCAAACAACAGAAGGGCACTTTGTTAACTTTCTTAAAATATAGTTCACAAGACGCAATTGAGAGAATACGACATTGAACTTTTAAATTTCCGAGGGC